CCCCAAAACCCCAAAACCCCAAAACCCCAAAACCCCAAAATGCTAAAAGTCTGTTGAATCGATCTAATTATGATTGGCTATTCGAATTTGTTAACTTCAAGGATAGTATTCCCCACCTTGACTTTTTGGCCTATTTGTAAATCAAACTCTGACTCTTCAGGAGCCTCAAAGATGAGCATGATGCTGGATCCAAGATTAAAGTAGCCAATCTCTTGTCCTTTCTCAAGATGGAACCCTTTCTGGGAGATTTCATACTCACAATTCTCAGCCCGGAGAACATCTAGTATTGTTGGTTGATTGAAGTGTGATTTAAAATACCCAAAATCTTCTTTCCCTTGTCCCGAAGAATTTGTCAGATCTTCGTTAAGAGTAGAGCCTTCATCACTAGACGAAGTAGACTCACTAGCTTCCAATATATCTTGGTCTTTGTCGAAGAGAGTTTTACTGGTAGCAATTCCTGAATCTGGATTTTTGGTAATGACATCATTTGTTAACTTTGACATTTCATTAACCTTTTCAAGACTGTAAGAAATCTCACTAGATTCGGATCCTGTGTAGATCTTATCAGCGACTTTATTTCCTTGATGGTACATCGTGTTAGTGACCACGCCTTTGTCGAAGTTTATGGCAATAGAACCAACATTTAGAGCTCCAATAAATGTAGTGGAAAAGAATCCATTCGCCCATTCTCCACAAAGAGAGACTCTTTCGTTCTCCTTGAAAACATTTGGATGATTAGCTACATAAGCAGGCTTTACGGGCATGAGGCGTCCAGCAATGTGGCGCCTGAAGTTAGTAGTCCACATTGCTGCGGAATGATAGCGGTGATAATCTGCAGGACTTAAGTAAAAGAGGACAAATTTAAGACTGTTTCCTCTCTGTTTCACCTTTTCTGAGATATTCTCGAAACGTCTAGTTGAGTCTGGTTGATCTCCAAAGAGGAACTCATCCATTCTATAAGGAGTGTTCTTTACAACAACGAAAGTATCCTTTTCGCAGGTTCCAAAGTTATATACAGTGCCGTCTCATGGAGAACAAACACTATCTTGGTCGTCCGGATTCTCTATCAGTCTGATCCCTTTCTTAAGTTTTCTGGTAAAGAAGGCATTAAACGAGCTGAAATCTCTCAGTCTGTGAATTTCAGGCTCCTCCAGATTGACTCCATATATTGCTCAATAAATCTTCAGAAGCGGTACAAGGATGAATTTTGGAACTCTCAAATTAGCAAATTTTCCTGTTATTCTCGAAATAGACCCCATAAAGTTGATTTTGAGCTGCTTTAATACCAAAAGGGCATAGAGCAAACCAGAAAAGAGGAGAAGTCTCTTAAGATCTCCTAGAGAAACCAAGAATTTCTTCTCTCCAGTGTTAGTCTTATGTTCCTCAAAGCGTTGAGATCATTCAGAGGCAACTTCAAAGGTTGCTCCTTCTGTATATTCAGCAAGGTTCATTCTGGTAATAATTTTAGAAATATATGTAATTTCCATTGGCTCAATTGAAATACAATCCCAGGGGTTTTGGGGTTTTGGGGTTTTGGGGTTTTGGGG